GTTGCCCTCTGAGATTCAAAAACTTTAGTCCCGCCAGTGCGAGGGTTTCCTGGTGATTGGAAACTTCCTCTATTAAGACTCCCTTCCCGGGACGGGTCTCCATCCCTAGTTCTTTTGTCTCTCTTTTTATCTTTTATATTTTGTCCTACCTCCTTTCGAAGACAATGGGCTGCTTTTCTGGGCATCTGATGTCCTCTGCTAGTGATCAGAAATTGTTCTGTGAAGTTTGCTCAGTGTTCAATTGTTCTTTCGATGAATTTGTAGGGAAGAAAGTGGTCTCCCCATCCTATTCCTCCGTCATCTTGGCTCCTACCTAATTTCCTTCTATTGAAAATACATTAATTTTTGGAGGAGAGGATTCCTGGAGGTCCAAATGAGGAGCCTTAATGTTATCCCTAGGAGCTTTCCAGGTGGTGAAGTGGTAAAAAAAAAAAAAAATCCATCTGCCGTTGCAAGAGATACAAGAGATGGGAGTTCTATCCGTGGATAGGGAAGTACTCTGGAGTAGGAAACGACAATCCACTCAGTATTCTTGCCTAGAAAATTCTGTTATCTAAAAAACGTGGCCACAACCTGAAAGTAGAGAATTATTTTATTATTTTATTATTATGTTTAGGACTCTGAGCCTGAGAGACAACACCTCAGCAACTCTGAGAAAACTGCTCCAAGGAGGCAGGAGGAGAAATCAGGCTATATAGAAATTTGCAACAAAGGGAGCAGGCAGTCTGAAAATCAAAGATCAGGTATCAAGTTAAAAAATGTAGCATTCTGTGTGTGGGAAGATGTAAGCTTTTGGACTCACTGAATTCATTCCTTTCATATGCACCTCAAAACTATCCAAGTCAGGCTTCAACAATACATGAACTGTGAACTTCCATATGTCCAAGCTGGATTTAGAAAATGCAGAGGAACCAGAGACCAATTTGCCAACCTCCACTGGATGATAGAAAAAGCAAGGAAGTTACAGAAAAACATCTACTTTTTCTTTATTGACTATGCCAAAGCCTTTGACTGTGTGGATCACAACAAACTGTTTAAAAGTCTTCAAGAAGTGGAAATACTAGACCACCTTACCTGCCTCCTGAGAAATCTGTATGTGGGTCAAGAAGCAAAAGTGAGAACTGGACATGGAACAGTAGACTGGTTCCAAATGGGAAAAGGAATATGTCAAGGCTGTAGGGTCACTGCTCTTTTCTCCAGGGTCCTGATGCACACAAGGCTTTGTTTGTGCCCTCTAAGAGTCTGTCTCCCCAGTCCTGTGTACGTTCTGCAATCAAATCCCACTGGTTTCCAAAGACAAATTTTGAACTAATTATGAAAAGGCAAAAAGATATGACACTGAAAGATAAACTCTGCAGGTCAGTAGGTGACCAATATGCTACTGGAGAAGAGTGGAGAAATAACCCCAGGAAGAATGAAGAGGCAGAGACAGAGCAAAAACAACACCCAGTTGTGGATGTGACTGATGACGGAAGGAAAGGCCAATGCTGTAAGAATAATATTGCATAGGAGCCTGGAATATTAGGTCCATGAATCAAGGTGAATTGGAAGTGGTCAAACAGGAGAGTGCAAGAGTGAACATTGACATTTTAGGAGTGAGTAAACTAAAATGGGCTGGAGTGGGTGAATTTAACTCAGATGACCACTATACCATTATACAGGAGTGGCAGCTGCCTGGCACAGGAGCGGCTGAAAAGACATACCCCACATATAAGGTCAGGAGAGGTGGCCAAGAGGAGATACCCCACATACAAGGTCAGGAGAGGTGGCCAAGAGGAGATACCCCACATACAAGGTCAGGAG